TGCCAAGGAGAAATTTTATCGCTTTGCATCCGTTGATACGATACGGAGATAAGCAACAAGTCTGGACGCAAAATTTTGTCGCGTTGCATCGGACGATACGCAACAAGTCTGGACCCGGCTTAAGGCATGAAATTTCTTCGCTCGTTCGAACACTGGGATCGTAGGTTCGAATCCCGTTTAAGGTGTGGATGTTTGCGTTTATTATGCGTTTGTGATGCCCTGTGCAGGTAACGGCCTTGTGACGGGCTGATCCCCCGTCCCGTCTAAGATTAAAAAAACTGAAGTGAAACGAAGTGTTTCACGGCTGCCCTGTGCTCCAAGTGGGAGCCTGAAATTCAGCGTCCTCATGTTACAGTGATAAGCACGATGTTATAAATTTTTAAACCTATTAACGACTCGGTACATTTTCGAATTTACGAACAACAGATATACTGCATATCTTTCACTTCATACATACTTTCAAACCCAGACTGACGAAAACATCTCAGAATTGTCATGCAGGGAAATTTACTTTTGAAGCGTGACAGAACTTGTGCAATGTATACGATGTTTAATTTCGACTTCTAATAACATATTTTCTTTCATTTCAGGTAAGTGTCTGTCAGGAAGAGGGCAACGCCCAGCTGCAACGGAGCAGGCCAGTTTCCTTCGAGAGCCACCAACAGTAGGTACAGAAGAGACAACTAAATATACGTGTCCGTCATGGGCGCCATCAGCATTTTCTTCCTGCGGGGGGAGGGGTAGTCAGAAAATTTAAGGGTACTAACACCACAATCTGTGAGTAAATAATATTTGTCTTTATTATAGACCCCCAATACTTGTTTCGATCAAAGTGATCATCTTCCTGTGGTTTGTATGAATATATATATCCCCATATTAATCTGTTCGACTAACTTGGATCCATATTAGCAAATATAATAATGCACATATTTGCGTTGAGTTTTAGGGTATGTGTCATGTAGCTGTATTATAATATGTTAAATGTTAAAGTTAAAAATTAAGTTTTAAAATTATTAATATTAGTTTTATTCACTCATAGATTGTTGTGTTGGCAGCCAAGTTAGTACCCGCAATGACACAACAGGATGAAAATAATAAGGACGGCAGAAAAGTTTGATTAAAAACTTAAATTTACGGAACTTCAAGCTAATTTTACTGATCCCGCTAGGGTGTTCAAGAGACAGCACTTCTAATTTAAGCTTTTGGTGTTAATATTTGCATGAGTTCCTGCAAGCATCTGATTTTCTCTGGAGGCAAATTAGATTAGTTTTTTTAAGAAGTTCTTGCTGCATTCGTGTCAGAGCGGCTCCACAAACGGGTCAACACCAAGAGTTCATGCAAGGAGAAGCAGAAAGCAGGCAGTCACACAATGTATGAACGTGCATTTGTTTTTCCATGTCCAAGACACACATCATTGCTCAGAAACAGGTGAACAGGAGCTAAACTCTGGGTCTCAACTTCGCCATCTTACCCAAACCTGCCCCGGGGTTCACTTGACAAGACCACTCATATCAACAAGTGTCGAGGTTAGAATCCATGGAACATTACTTCTCCGCGAGATCCCTAAGCAAACGGACGGATTTGCCATGAATATAAATGTGAAATGTGTGTAGAGCAATATACACTGCCTTGCATATAAAAGTACTGACGTAAGTAAGTGTAAACTGAAATGCCATTTCTCACTATGAAATAATAAATACTGGGATTTTGAGCAACATAGGAAAGCTGGGAGTAAACATATATCACATTCTTCCATGGGGGGGGGGGCCTTCAAACGTATCATGACCGCTTTCCTTCCAAATCCCTTTTTAGTTTTCTTCATGACCATGTTCTCGTTTCATTCGATGCTACGTAACCTTTGTAATTTAAAGGGCGTCGTTAAATACAATAAGGCCGGGCGCACACCAAAGAAACTGGCAACCACGATTTCCGAGAAGTGTTATCAGCCAGAGTTGAACACGTTAATAAATGGGGCAGCGCAAATTGAGGAAACGGCAACGAAACTCGCGGGGAATCTGAGAAACTCAATTTCCAGGTAATGGAGTATGCCAGTCCACACACGATTGAGTTCGATTGAGTTGCCGCGTGGATTCCTAGAAATCGGCTGTTCTGTAACGCACTTCAGTGATTCGTTTGTTTGCTATGATGGCACGAATAGTTAATACTGTCCACCACACATACGTCTTTGTCTTCCCAGTTGTCTCTTGCCTTCTGGCTTTCCCAGCAATATTAAAATGGATCTTAGAAAGACAGGATGGGATGGTATGGATTGGATTCATCTGGCTCAGGATAGGGACCCGTTGAGGGCCCTTGTGAACACGGTGGTGAACCTTCATGTTCCATAAACTACTGGGAAATTCTTGAGTGGCTGCACAGTTGGCAGCTTCTCAAGAAGGGCTCAGTTCCTTGAATGAGTGATGGACTTAACCTTAAGAGAAGAATACTGGATAGAACATTGTATCAAGTTGATAGCAGAAGCAAAGCAAACTTTTATCTGAAATTCTGATGTTAAAATCTATAAAATAAATTACTATGAACTTTACAAAGTATCGTAATCATTAATTCGTAATATTAAGCTTGTAATTTATATTTATTTTAGAAAGCTTCTCATGGCGCCTAAAGCCCCGGAAATCCAATATTGTTACAAGAAAATGCAGTCAACACTACAGCTTTTCTTTTATTGCTAGTTGGGTGGGACTAAGTCCCTTGTACTGCGGCCACTTCTGGCCTATTGTACCAGCCCCAGATGATAGGTGAGGGTGACTGTGGAGCAATTGGTGGAATGAAGATTGACAGGGGAAACCGAAGTATTCGGAGAAAACCTGACCCAGCGCCACTTTGCGACCACAAATCCCACTTGACCAGACCCGGGATCGAACTCGGACCGCAGCGATCTTAGTACGACTATGTGAACACGTAAATTACGAATTATACAGTACCTGGAAGGCAGCAGATTCGTTATGACTCTAAAACTTTGCAAAACGAATGCTTCTGCACTTCTAAACAACTTGTTCGATTTAGAATACCGCAAATACTTAAGTTTTTGACTCTTCAAAAAAGGCCGTCAAATTTGCAACTTCTTCACACTGATTAACTTGCGTAAATAGTAATTATACATTTACTAGTCATGATATATGCGACTTAAATTGAAATTATAATGCAAAAATGTAGGAAATTCTCGCGAAATGTGTATTCTCACTTCCCTGCTGTTACAAACAGCCTACTTCGTGAAGCACGAAGACTTGCTGTTCACCAACTAAGACAAAGTGGTTTCGGAATGCTTTTATAGTGCATTTAGCTCAACTCAATTAACACAAAGCGACAAATACTTGCAAATCATGTAACTAACACAACTCACGGGAATGCACGCTGTCCTAGCTGCACAAGATATGCATGCGAAGCTGCAGAATTGGAGCACACACTTATCACAACCTCACTCCCTCACAAGCAGCAGCTCTCTGACCGGTGCGAAGGGCACGTCATGCTTAATACGGGATGGGGTTTCAAGATGTCGGTCCTATCCATACTTCACTTACAGACAGTAAGGGCTTGTGTCAAATATTTCATGTATTACATTCGAAGATCGACTTAAGCAATATTAAGCATATAGTTTCTGCTGAATTTTTGGAGAAGCTTTGTTTGTTTCGGATTTTAAAATTAAATAAATATAGAATGGTAGCACCGTCCAATCACTGTTCGGTTACAAAAACTCGTTTCTCGCGCCCAGTGAAGAACACGAGTGTTTGGAAGCAAAAGAGCGAGGGAATTTTCAACGCGGGAGAGATAAATGAATAAGATCATGACAGACGTTATCATTTGAGGATTCTTTCATTAAGTTTTCTAGCTCAATGTTAAACATGAAAATAACGACAAATTTACTTCCGCGTCGTAAGTTGTACGCTCTGGACGTGTAAAGAGGCGTGGAGGTCGTTCTCGAAGTACATGAAGGAGAGTGAAAAGCCCCTGTAAGAAAGGACCTTACAATACTCATTTTGTGCCCCCACATCCAACAGAATTTTTTTTCCTTGGCAATACAGCCCCAGTGGGCCTAGGCCTACCTCCATGAACTTCTCCGTTCACTTCGGTTTTTCTAGATCTTACACATTCGGTAGGACTCCTTGGGCTGGTGATCAGCTCGTCGCAAGGCCTCTACCTGTATACAAAGACAGAAAAACGCACACACACAAACTGAACATCCATGCCCTGAGTGGGATTCGAAGGTTTCCAAGCGAACGAAGACAGTACATGCCTTAGACCGCTCGGCTACCGTGACCGGCATCCAACAGAATTATGGAGGCGAATTCAAAGTGAAAATGCTTGTTCTGCTGGTGATCGAACCCTGGTTTTCTGGTCCCATGGCCTGTTATGTTACTACAGGGCTATACCAGCTTATGAGAGCTGATGTTAGAAGACGCAATTAAATAGGGAGCACGCAGCACTCTTGAAAAGCAAAATAACGTATACACAATTGTGATTCAAATTCGTCATGGAAGAAAGAGCAATAGGAAGACTAAGAAGATAATATTAAAAAGATAGTGAAGAATGCCGTCTTCTGGGATCTGGCTCCTTGTATATCTTGTGCGAACCGACGTTTCGGAGGAACGTTTTCAGGGTAGAGGTACCAGCGTGAGTAGGTGGCTGCAGACTGGTTCCTCACTCGCGGATTTCTTCTAACCTAAATATGGAGGCGATACGTTCCTCCGAACATCGGTTCACACAAGATCTACACGGCGCCACGTCCCAGAAGACGGCATTCTTCATAATCACCGCCGTGAAAACCTCAAATCTTACTTAAAATAGACAGTTCAGTTGTTGATTTCCTCATTAATTCATTCATATTCTGTTGTACTCTATGAAGCACATGAAGCATTCGCGAAAGGCGTCGTTTCACTTCAGTTTCTCAATATTTATACAGTCGGCAGGACTCCTTGGACTGTGGATCAGCGTGTCGCAAGGCCGCTACCTACACAGGGCAACACAAACACAGAATAAAAGTAGAAAAAAATTCAAGCCTCGAGTGGGAATCGAAACCACGGCCCCAATGTTTGAGCAGGCGAACAGTTCATGTCACTGCGATCGGCGTTGATTTTCTGAGCTTTTAATAAATCATAAACGCCTAGTCAAAGTGTTCTTAATCACGCATATATTCGAAAAGGATAACAACTGGCACATATAGAACCTAACTTCATTAACTGTTCTGCACGGCTTCAAAACGTGGCTGCTGCTTCAAGGGAAGGAATTAATTGCAAGTGTTTGAGACCATCGTGTTCAGGAAAATTTGTGGCTCTAAGAAGAGTCACGCCGGTCACGGTAGTCGAGCAGTCTAAGCCATGCACTGTCTTCGCTCGCTCGGAAACCGGGATCGTGGGTTCGAATCCCATTCAGGGCACGGATGTTTAGCTTGTGTGTGTGCGTTTTTCTGTGTTTGTGTACAGGTAGAGGCCTTGCGACGTGCTGATCACCCGCCCAAGCAGTCATACTGAATGTGTAAGATTTAGAAAAACCGAAGTGAACGGAGAAGTTCATGGAGGTAGGCCTAGGCCCACTGGGGCTGTAGTGCTAAGGGGGGGGGGGAGAAGGAAGAGTCAACGCATGAGAACATTGAAGGATATTATGGGTTGTCTTGTCTAGTTTTTATACGTTATGATGCATGTAGCTTGCATGGTAGAAATTAGAGATACAGGATTTTGTGGGAAAATGTAATGGAAAGTAAGATTTTGGAAGATCTGAAGTTGGATGGGAGAAATATTAACCTGGTTCTTAAAGGCATGGTTTTTAAAAAGTTGGGCTTTCTACCAGAATAAATTAAACTCTTACTGTACTTCGCTTCAGGTACTTGTCACAGTGTCAAATGGGCCGCTGATCTAATGGGCACGCAGAAGTCTGCGCCCCGATCTGGGGTCCAGCTGCACCTCCCGATAATTATCACACGTCCCTCGCTCCCTGATGGGAACTTGATGTCATGAATTATGCCAAAGTTATTTAACGACGCTATTCTAACTGCGTACGTTGTCTAGGTTAGATTGTTGATGGGATTGTGACCGGCAAATTGGAAACATGTGGAAGTGGGTGGGCCCATTTTAAGTCATTACCCCTAATTCCTTCTTAAGTAATTTAGGAAAATGACGAAACAAATCCTGTCACTATCTTCTTGCGTAAGGTGTAACTAGGGATATCTCTAATAACTGGCAGGTTTACCGGCGTGTAAGCCCCGCTGTGTCTCTGTTCACTGTGTCCGACTCTTGTCGAATGGGTACCGGGTGTAGTGGTTATCAGGCTTGTTTCATATCCGTGAGGTCACGAGCTCTAGACTCGGCTATGCTGATTGAATGGTGTTCCTTAGTCGCTGGACTCGAAAGCCTTAAGTCGGCCACGACCATACGACATACTTTATTGGATAAATCTCTGTTTCATTAGCGATGGTCTAGTTGTTGAAGTGAGGATTCGAGCAAGGTGGCTCAGTCGGTAACGCTTCTGATTTGTATTCGGGAGGTTCTCGGTTCGAATTTGGGCCGAAACATTGCCTATCTTGAATTAAATTTTTCTTGGATTTCCTCAGCCCTTCAATGAAAATGCCGGTTTTGTGGCACCTGTAATCTTTTTCAAATCACGAATCGATGTACGTAATTCGATAATTTGACCCTAAACATTCTGAGTTACCCGTGGCTTCATTTATCAAATGACAAATAAATTAAATAAAAATATACTACCCACGACAGGAGGGACGCACATATAGACACACAGACATATGGGAACGATGTATGAAGCACGCCGCTGAAATGAGCTCACGTGCCATGATATACACCCACCAGATTTCAGCCATTAAGAAGTTTATGGGGGTGAGGAATCCACAGACAGCATGGAGATCGCATATGCCTACTTTTTTTTTTTCAAAATAAAAAAGTCGGCTAAAAGGGGCAGTGTCTAGTGTTGTCTAACGAAACTTCCGCCACTGGACGTACTCTTGCATAGAAACAAAGCAAGTGACAGGGAACTAAGGAGAGCAAGCGAATGACGAGCCCAGCTGCTGGCCTACAACCCTCCTTCCACCCTCTGTCACTGCTGCAAGCCTTGGGTGAGGTTATCGCCAGTCTATACGTTGCGTTAGATCAAATAACATGCAGCAGCGCTCTGAGACGCACAAACCCTACGAAGTCAGAATTGTCCCAGGGAGTTGGAACGTGAGAACAGGTTTAAGGAAATCTCCCATGAAGACATCATGTCACATTTATTTACCAACTGTTTAACTCTGTTTGATGGAGTGACCCAGACGAATTAACTTCAAGTAGCTTACGATAATTCTCTCTTGTTTCTTTACTCCCTCTTTCTCTTTCTCCGCCATTCATTCTTCGTCTTCATAATATTTCATGTTCGACGCCATGAAATATACAGTATTCAGCGGTATTCAGTTCATGCCCTGTATTCAGTAGGTATCTGCTTCGAGTCCTCGGCGGACTACAGGCAATCCAGACGTTTCGCTCGATACAAGCCACGCGAAATCAAGTTTATATTACGTATGTATAAACACTATACGTCACAGTCTTCTTCCGGGAGAGGCTTCTCCAGAGTACCTATATGTCTAGGAGCTATTCCCAAAAGTATGAGTCGGAATAAAAACCAAATTACCTCTACTGAGGGGTCGAAGCACTGTGCTACAAGCCGGAAGGTCACGAGTTCGAGTCCTGAAGAGGTGGATTTTTCAATTGACCTAATCCTTTCAGCCGCACTACGGCCCTGGTGTCGACTCAGCCTCTAACAGAAATGAGTACCAGGAATCTTCCTGAGGAGTAAAGGGCCATCTGTGAGCCGATTGTCTAGAGGAAATGTGGAAGCCTCTCATAACCCTATGGGCCTTCACTGGTCTTCACGGCCTCTTACAGGGATACATTTCCCTCTACCGAGGAATTCGCTCGTTTCAAAGTTTTCTTCCAAAGTAGACAAGAGGAGGGCCTCGTGTGGAAGTTATATATATATATATAGCCGCGTGTTGCCTATGCGGCGCGACAAATAACTTCACATGGGTCTCGGATTTAGCGGATATTTATTGAACACTCACTCTTACACACTCAAGTACAATTAGTATCCCTTCAACTGCATTCTACGGCGGCAACTGTCTCTGACTGTAGCTGGATCCAAATCCAAGTCCAAGTCACATTGCGAATGACGGTCAGTAAGTCAGTAAGTTTTAGTGTCGAGCCTCATCTAGGGCTCATGACTAGATATTTATTACTCTTTGACAGTTACGGTCTTGTTTATTGTGGGGCGCCCTCTCTGACGAGAAGACGGGTCTATCGTTTGTATATGCTGCTGGTCCTAGCCAGCGCAGTCTTTCTCGGGTCCGAGTCCCTTTTTACTCGCCACCATGTTTTACTGTTTCAGATTTGAGACTTTCTTTTTTGTCGCCTCCTACGACTCGCAGGGTCACGGTGGAGGTATTGAA